ATCATAGATCAAAATTCTAATCATGAATTAAAAGTAAGCTTTAGTCCGGGTCTTATTTATCTTACAAACAGTAACGAAAGAACAATAGGTTTATGCTTCAGTCTCACTAGTCTCTATGATGTCAATGCTACACTAATTTGATGTAACATATGGAAATCTCCTTCTTATCTTTCTTTCTCCATATATAGATCGAAATCCCCGATCATCAATTAAGATGGTAATTCTTCTTCTCCATTAAACTCTCCACCATCGTTGTCTCTCTTCAGCATATATACTAAGTCAGCGCATGAGATTGACATAGTTGACTATATTCGAAAACCAGTATAATAGGTAACAATTATTTTTTATAACAATATGTAACTATATTTCTGATAATAGTTAACTATGTATGTTATTCTTTTTGTTATACAAACTATAATTGGTAACTAGGTTAAAATATAGTTGACTATGTTTCTAAACGTAGTTAACTATGTTGTTTAAATAAGTGATTATTAAAATAATATTTTCGTGTATTCAACTATGCTCTGAAAAGTAGTTAACTATGTTTTTAAATTCGTAAAGTTAACTATGTCTTAAAACAACATTTTTGTGTAGTTAACTATGTTTTTAAATTGATAATTATTTCCTATCAGTAGTTATCTATATTTTAAAATTGGTAAAATTTTGTGAATATAGTTAACTATGTTTTTAGATAGTTTGAAATAGTGTGATGTAATGAACTATGTTCTGAGATCAAGTAAGTATATAATTACGAAAATAGTTAACTATGTTAAATAGTAAAATGCTGCAACATATTTGATTTTTCTGACCCAATTTTGTTTTTACAGAAAATGGATCTGCGTTTGGGAGGAGCAATTATTTATGAGATGAGATCAAGTGAAGAATTTTAAAAAAAAAATTCTTTATTTGTACTTTAATTATAAGAGAAATTAGGTTGTATATTAGTTTACCTTAATTATAGTTGTAAGGGCAATTTCGCCATATTTTTATTTCTCTATGCTAGTTTCCTAATTATATTTTTGGTTATATTACTTTCCTAATTTCAAGTCCCAAAAATAATATTAAGTTAATTAACCCTTATATTAATACGTTTGTGTGGCCTACAGTCCATTTAAAATTTAACCTATAAACCCAAATAAACCAATTGCATTCATAATTCTCCTAACAACCTATAACCCTTAATATATCCATTATACTGTATATAACAAACAATTTGCATTCATAATTTTTGTTTTATAGGCGTCTCTTATCAAAAGTATGACATGACCAAAACTAATTATTACATTCATAATATACGTATTCTTAAAAATAAAAAATTTCTAATACAAGACAGTTTAAAAATAAAAAAATCATTTAAGATAAATTGTATGTAAAATTTGTATATCTTTATATTAAATATAATTTTAAAAAAATCAAAGGTTACATATTTTACATGCTAATATTTAAAAAGCTCATATTCATCTTTTATATTTTAAGAAAATTAGTTTAACATTGTCATATTATATTTAATGTTTAGTAAAAAAACACTATGAAAAGTT